AAACTAACATTTTATTTATTTGGACATTTGTTATTTGGGATTTTAGACACATCTGTATATATCTTCTCTCATTAATCATGTAATACTTCACAAAACTTCTTAATTTTTAGAAACACCTTTGTGCCCCTACCTTGCAGTGCTTTGTATAAATAAATATTTTACAACTCAACACATAGAATGTAAAAAAAAGTATTATTTTCTCAACTTCTAATTTTTTTTCCTATTGGTTAAAATGACAAAATTAAATTAAAAGATAAAATAATTAAGTCAATGTTGCATAAGCATTCTCATATATAAATATGAGTATTTCCTTTTGGTGAATGCTTCGTTTTACCCCACATTTACCATGATATGTTTTTTTCACTTTAACCACATGTCCCAAAAACACAAATCCAACTCCCCTATATGCTGGTGAATATTTTTACTAAGAATTTCAAATAAGATGGAAAGGAAGGCCATAATACTATCCATGGAAAAACTTATTTTAAAATACTTTCAAATATCTCTTTGTTTGTCCTAGTTCTCTCCATACGAAGATATCATTAGGTCTCCCTTTCCTCCTGTATAGTACTAAATAATTAGCCAAGACATGTATCTTACCCAGAATTAGGAAATCAGTTACATGTGAATCTTATCACCCAAGCCAACTCTTAAAAACCCAAACAATTGCCATACTGGCAGTCAATGCTAGTGATGTAAAATTTTGATCAAAAAAATTCTAATCAACAAATAATGTTAAGAAGCATTAGACAGATGATGAATATAGTAACTAACCTTATAGAGGTAATCTTTTTGTAACATATACATATATCAAATCATCATGTTGTACACCTTAAACTTACACAATGTTATATGTCAATTATATCTCAATAAATCTGGAAAAAGAAAGAAATATTAGACAAATATCTACTCATAAAGATTCAGGGCAAGACTGCTACAGCTGTACTTACATAAAAGTCATGAATCAACCTAATCATTTGTCAATTCATCCCCAACCATCCTTCCCTTGATGGCTGTCTTTGGTGTTTCCTTCGAAGCACTGTTATAAGTCAAATCCCTAAAGAGACACTAACATTTAAAACCTTGAATTTTTCTAAAGCAGAGATTTTGTCCCCACACTTGGTTTTGTTTTCATGTGGAGTGACATTTTATAGTTCTTTTTCCAATGGAAGGGACACGTATTGTAGAAACAAACAAAAATAAGAGGTAGAAGACAAGTTATACCCCCTCTCTGCCCCTGACTCTCAAGTGAAAGAGAACAGAAGAAACCTGAAATGCAACCATGGTTTTACTTTCCAAACTTGCTAATCAAATAGGGCGCTCTATTTTCCCAGGTATGCAGTGAGTGAATCAGCAGAGAGACTCCAAGAGTGTTACACTATTAGTTGTCCCTTCACATGGAAAGCAAAATCAGGAGTGCAAAAATGTTTACCTTCTAATATTCTCCTATTTCTATTCTTTTAACCCACTGGTCTTAATTTTGAAGACTACAGTCAACTAAGGATGTGGCTATCTAGTTCAAGGGACTAGATCAGCCACTTACACAGTTTTATTGGTACCCTTGCAGAACCAATTTCTCAATAACTGCTACTGCTTCTTTTGGGCCCACAAAAAAGTCAATTATGACAAAACAGCGCATTAATAAAATCTATCTCAAAGACACCCTACATCAAGTCCATATAATTGCCCTATATTCTATTTCTCTTTCCAAACTGGCTTTGAAGTCCACCATTGCCTTTAAGAATCTTGCACTATAATTAAATGGCATGAGAATACTACAATGATAAGACATATAAAGATCATCCAACAGTAATGCTAAACATATCAAATGCTCTTAATTAAGAAAAATCCCCCCGTTATAAAATATCTAAGGATACATTAAAATCTCTTGAATATTAAAGTACAAAGTGTCAAAATTCAAACATTAAAATCCAAAAGTGATTCATTTTTCTTATAAGTTAAAAGTCCAAAAAAAAAAAATGAAGATTTGCTATTATTGTTATTTTTTTATTCTGCTCAGTCTCAGCCAGATACCATGATCAGGCTAGAATTTCTTTCAGCAAGTATAGCCTTGGCTATCTCTCACTAGATTAATATTACCCCATCATGGTCTCATATATCACATAAGTATAGTTCCAAAGCTCTTGTGAATCTCACTTTTACAGGGTAGACAGATTTAATAGGACACAAAAGATTATCGTACTTGTGGATCTCCACCTACCAACTTGAGAATATCCCATCCCCAACTGCCAGAGCTGACCTTGGACAAGATTATGACCCTAGAACGCAGTTTCAGATGTTGCCATAGGACCATATTAAAAACACAATAATATTTGCAGGATATAGATCAGGTAAGAAAAATCCTGGTTTCTGCTTCATGAGGATCACAATAAATACTAATTGAGAGCAATCCAAAACCTGTAAACTTAAACTAATTTGTGAAATATCTTCCTGCAAAAGGTTAATTTTGGCATGATTTATTTACCGTAAGTAGGGGAAAATCCAACCATGCATATATGTTCTCTCTTGGAGAGAGAGATTGAAACAGTGTGGCCTGCATGCAAAATTTAGAGATCTGCAATTGTGGTAGTTCCACTCAACATATCTTATTTGAGATATATTGTTTTTCATTTCAGCATATTCAAAACATATTCATTACCCTGAAACCCTGTGTTTCTGGCACCTCTGGATTAGTAAACTGAACTTGGATTGGATTTAATTACATGAAGTCTAAACTATTTTGGGAAATGAATTTGAATTGAATCACAGTGACAGTGTCTATTTCCACCTGTTATAGAAATCCTTAGGTCTAGCAAATCTGTCTCATAAAGTGATTCTTTCTTCATATGTTAATAGCCTAGATAGAGCCAACTTGAGACTGTGATAGGTGAAGACTCACATGGCCACACATAGATTACATGAGCTCATGCCTCTCTCTCCCCTCTACCCGTACCACGGCCTTGACCCTGAATGGAAAATAGAAATTGAAACATCTAATCTGCCTATGTAGACCTGAACCTAAAATTTAAAGCTGGGATCTCACCAGTGCACACAGCACATGCTGAACTCAGCTTAAAGTAGCATATATTGAGGCAAGCCTGGTGGCTTAGCAGTTAAGTTCACACATTCCGCTTTGGCAGCCCAGGGTTTGCTGCCTGGGATCCTGGGCGCAGACCTACTTATCATTCATCAAGCCATGCTGAGACAGCATCCCACATAGAAGAGCTACAACTACGATACACAACTATGTACTGGGGTTTTGGGGAGAAAAAGAGTAGGATTGGCAACAGATGTTAGCGCAGGGCCAATCTTCCTCACCAAAAAAAAAAAAGAAAGAAAGAAACCTCAATCAATCCAAATGTATCTTTTTCCCTGAAAATTTACTCCTTGCCTATTTCTCAAAGCTAAAGGCCAGTCTCGTGTAAATTGAATTTGCCTCCCAAAGCGATAGCCTCCCAATCCTTCCCTCTCACTCCCATGCACACACACATACATCAAGCAGGGCCTTCCGCTTAAGATGCATGTCTTGGAGGAAAAGACAAGAAAGTGTGCTTTCTGCAAGTAGCTCCTTCCCAAGAAAAAATGAGAGTGTATCGATTGAGTCAAGCCAAGTTTCTTACCAATCAGATACCCACACCAACTTCTAAAACAGGAGAGTGAACAAATGGGTAGAGAGAAGTCAAAAGCATTACACGAATTGATACTCTCCACATAGAAGAAAATATCAGAAGAGTTTTTATGGGTGAACTAAAATCTTACTGTTACTTTAATTTATGGATTATTAGGTAAATTGATCATTTTTGCAATTAAAAACTACAGTTATACATCTTTATTGTGAATCATTTTTCCATGTTTCTTAAACATGTATTTTTCTCCATCAGTATGTACTTTCTATTTATATAGAAATAAATTAACCCTTTGTTGCAAATATCTTAGAAATAAATTGTCATTTGATAAAATTTAATCTAAAATTCTCACAATTTAAACCACATGTATTATATAAAAACATGAATATATGACCATTGTATTGGTTAGGATATGGTTTTGGCTACTGCAACAAGGGTCAAAATAACAACGGCTGAAACAAAATAGAAGTTTACTTCCTTATCGTGTAAAAGTCACACCAGATGTGGGAGGAGAAGGAAAGAAGCATAGTTCTTTGCCTCCTGGGCACAAGCTGGAAGTTGCACACATGATGTCTGCTTCTGTACCAATGGTCCCTTCACAAGGCCATGTCCCACTCAAAGGAGCCTGGGAAATTTATCCTTTAGCTGAATGGACATGCAGCTAAACCTTCTATTACTCTATGTCAGGGATCAGCAAACATCTGTAAAGGGATAGACAGTAAATATTTAAAGATTTGAGGACCATATGATTTCTGTCGCAACTACTCAACTGTGCTATTGTAGCACAAAAGCAGTCATGAATAACATGTTAATGAATGGGAGATGCTGTGCTTCAGTATGATTTAACTTATGGAACAATGAAGTTTAATTTCATATAATTTTTACATTACAAAATATTATTCATCTTCCAATTTTTTTTCAATCATTTAAAATACAAGATCCACACAGAAACAAATGGTGGGACTGGATTTGGCCCCTTAGCAGTAGTTTTCAAGGTCTACTCTATAGGAAAAGAGGAATATCAGGGGACCAGTTGTTAGTTTCTGCCACAGGTACCTAGTAAGACGTATTTCAGGAATGCAGGAACAGCACACCATTACTAAATCTCTTAATATATTTCATAATATTAGTTCTTAAAATCATGAAGCATTTTATATTATGTCAACACATAATGTCAGAGAGTAGTAACCGTTAATGTTGGAGAGGAAGAACTATTCCTCTACCCTCTAGGTCCTTGTAGCTAGTCTAAGAATTAAATTGACGTGAAACAGACTAACAGGAGAAAATCAAACAAAGTTTAATAACATGTATACATGGGAGAAACTCAGGAAAACAGTAACTGACCAAAATGGCTGAAGCCACCACCTTAAATACCATCTTCAGCTAAAGACAAAGGAGAATGTTGGGGGTAGAGGTTTGGGCCTTCAAAGGGGAGGAAGGCAATTCACATGGAGATGGAAATGCAAATGTTTAATAAACAAATGTTTGCTGGCCATCTATAGACAATGTGACAAGACAGAGAGAGAGACAGAGAGAGAGAGACAGACAGAGACAGACAGAGAGAGAGAAACAGAGAGAGAGGAACAGAGAGAGCAAGAGAAACTTTGATGAAAATGGGCTTAGCAAGGATACTACAGTCTATTACACCTGGAGTTATCTATGGTGACGGCCTGTCCTGGAACAGGCCTTCTATCTTAAATTCTTTTAGGCAGTGAGGGGGAAAGTCAAAGTTTCTTTCAGAGTCTTTTATCCTTAAAAATAATCAAGGCAAAGAGACACATTTTGGGGTGGGTGATACAATTTTGATCCCCCACAATAATAAAACATTGTTTGGTAGGATTAAAATCTATTCATAAATTGGGAAACAAACAAAATCCTTAGATATGAATTCAATTCTGGCTCCACATCTTACCAGATATAAATATTAAACAAATCTTTCAACCGCATTGATGCTAACTTTCCTTAGTTGTAAAGTGATAACGTTAATTTTGGCTATCTTAAATCGTGAGGTTAATACCAAATGCAATGAGCGCTTTCAATTCTCATTTTCATCTCTCAAGAATTTCACATTTCACTTTAGCCATTTCTTTTCATGGAAAAAAAATTGTACATAAATTTCTAATTTTGTGATCTACTGGTTTCCATTTTATTTCTTTAGCAATTCCTTCTCAAATCCTGTAAAATGTTTCTTCTTCCTTTGTTTATTCATTTTGTGTCAGTTTTCTCCTATGTGCCATTTTTAGTCTTTTTCTCTCTACATAGATTTTTCCCTTGAAGATCTCATCTAACTTCATGACTTCAGTGATCACTGATCTATAATACCAATATACTCAAAGCCTACCAGAAAGCTCCTTCTGGATGCCCTTAGGCAGTTCAAACTCATCATGCCTCCCATTCCACAAAATGTGATTTTTCTTCTATAATGATCATTTCATTTATATCACTATTCACCCAGTTGTCTAGGTGACATTATTATTCATCTATGACTCATCACATGTGCTTTGACCTGACATTCAGTTCTCTAGGCACTATGCTATAGTGATGAGCAAGAAAGAATAGTCCCCAGTTTTCATGAACTTAAATGCCAGATGGGAGACAAGCAGAGAAAGATCAAATGAAAAGATACACAAAAATAATTAACAGTTATTTTTGAACTAACTATTAAGAAGATAATAAAATAGACCAGCTGTTAGAGAGTAACTATGATGGGGTACACAATAAACAAGGTGGCCAAGGAAAGCCACAGCTGGGAGGTGGCGTTTGAATTGGGTCCTGAATCATCTGAAGAAGCCAGCCATGTCAAGAGGCCAGAAATCTGAATGGCTTCTTTAATTGCTCCCTCATCATATACCACATATCTAGACTATCATCCTAAACTGACGATTATGTTGACTCAATAACATCCAAAATCATCAGCGTCTCTCTTTTCCCTCTGCTACTATCTCAGTCTTGTCTCCTCCCATTAATTCTCCACATTTTGCCAGAGAGATCCCCCTATAATGCAGGTCTTATCAAGTGACTTGCCTAATAACATCGTTTATTAGATTTTAATTTGGGGATCTCCATTGTCCCAAAACTCAAAATACTCAAGGCCCCCAAATATGCCCTGATTACATCTTAAACCTTATGCTTTCCACTCCCATACCATCATCTATGCCCAGACTATATTAAATTACTTCAGTCCCCTAAATCTTCATTCTTTAATTTTGCCTCCTTGACTTTTTGAACAGTCTTCTTTCTGTTTGGAGTCCTTGTTCTAGTGGTTAATTATTGTTGACATCACTTTGGTGCCAACTTAAATGTGATACCTAATACATCCTAGAAAATTGTCTGCTGAATTTTTTATGCTTCCATGAGTTTGTAAGTTACTTGAGTGCTGGGAACTGTGTTTGCTCAACTTTGCATATCCAATATATAGCACAGAACCGAACAGTATTGCAAATAATGTTCAATAATTATTTATTTGATAAATCAAGTAAGTTTTCCAAAAATTTTGGTCTTTTAAACTTAATTGTTTGACTCGAATTTTTTTTAGTAATAACACAAATTGAGGTCTTTGTTATTCAACTTTGAATCCCTAATACAGGCACTGGCACATGACAGTTTCTTAACAAGAAATATGTATTTTTATGTTTGCATGTATTTATATTTGTAAGAAAAAGCAAGTGACTGAACAAAATTATTTTCAGTTAAAAATAAAAAATTAGGGGCTGGCCCCATGGCGAAGTGGTTAAGTTTGGTGTGCTCAGCTTCGGCAGCCTGGGTTTGCAGGTTCAAATCCCCGGCAAGGACCTACACCATTCCTCAGCCATGCTGAAGTGGTGACCCACATATAAAATATAGGAAGATTGGCACAGGTGTTAGCTCAGGGCGAATCTTCTTCAAGCAAAAAAAAGAGGAAGATCGCAACAGATGTTAGCTCAGGGTGGATCTTCCTCACTAAATAAATAAATAAATAAAACATAAGAGCTATTTAAGGCAGGAAGACACATGACACAAGCTTAGCGTTCTCTGGAACAGTGCTATTCAAAGTGTGGTCAGAAGAGCAGCCCCATTAAAATTACCTGGGGCTTGTTAGAAATGCAATTTTCAGGCCCATCCCAGACATGATGAACTGGAATCTCTGGGGTGGGGCCTAGGAATCTGCATTTAACAAGCTATTCAGATGACAGAGGTCTTGTTACCTTACAAGTTGCTGCAACCCACACCCCAGAATGCTGACTTTGTAGGTATGGGATAGGGATCAGTAATTTGTGTTCCTTAGAAGCTCTCAGAGGACGTTGATGGCGCTGGTTTGTGGACAACACTTTAAGAAGCAGTGCTCTAGAGCAGGACTTGGCAAACTATGGCAGGCCAAATCTGGGTAGCTGCCTATTTTTGTAAATAAAATTTTGTGGAACACAGCCACCTATTCCCTAGATGGCTGCTTTGGTACTACCATGGCAGACTCGAGTAGTTGTACAGAGACCATCTGGCCCACAAGTCTAAAATATGTACTTTCTGTCCCTTTACAGAAAGTTTGTTAAATCTTCTTAAAGAGCACAGTTCTTTTCTTTTCTTGAAATTTTGATCAAGTTGAATTTAATGAATTAAAATGAATATTTATTAAAAGGGATAACAGGAAAATCAAGTAAAGTAATTGCAGTTTAACAAGTGATTTTTATGACATTTACCCGCTGGCATAAACTCTTCTGAATCAATTGTCCATGCACTATCAGAAGATTTGCACAACTCTATTCAATATTGTAAACCATCAAACCTTACTATTTAAATGAATAAACATTATTAAAAAACAAAATTCAACCAAGTAAATTTGAAGATCTAATTGGCTTTATTAGGCCATTCATGAATCAGGTAGCATCCCATCTATCAAACAGAAAGGCTCTCCTAGGGGTTGTACAAAATGAAAAGTTTTTATAGGAAGAAAGGTGGGGCAAGGGAGCTATTAGCAAAAGAAAAGAAAGGGTTATTTTGGGCCAGGACATCTTATTTTGGGGGAAAGGGGTGCATGGGTTTTATCATGCGGATTGCCTCTTCTTCCTCTGGGAGATGGAGAGGACCCACTTAGACTACCTTACTGGTGCTTGACCAGAAAATTCCAGGCTGGTAAATTGAGACTACATTTCCGGGACAGGTTGAAACTGCAATGAGATCAGGCATTAAATCTATGTTTGGTATCATGGGCTTTAGCACAAGTGATGCCATTTTGGGCCTGTGGTCTTGTTTTTTTTAATGGCACCGTTTTGACTGCTGAACAACCCATCTCATAGTGAAGCTTCAAAAAGTATGTTTTCTTAAGTTTACTGAAAGAACCTCTAAATTAAAATTAAATGATATAAATACAACATAAAATAATACAATATAAAACAATATTGCAATGGGACTCATTTAAATGAATAACTATGGAAGTAACAAAACAATTTAATAGATACATATTTTTGTGTTCTTAACCAGAATGAAGCAATTTCAACATGTGTCACAAAAATTTAACAAATATGCTCTTTAATGATTCACATTCTAAGTATTAAAATACAAAACACACTCATTTGAACCATAGAAGTACATTAAAATAGTAAAGCTGTCATGGTGCCATTTCTCTACAACCAAATAAAAACATATTTAATTTCCTGCCTTTATAAATTACACTATAGAGAGAATATTTCTTCAGTAAAAACATATTGAATAGGTTTACCAAAGCAAGCTTAAATAAATAAATGTTTCAAGAACTACAAATAAATATTTAATTTCCTTTTGTCTTAAATATTTAACACATTTCCTGGAAAGAGCTCTTGTTCATCATTGAAATTGGCTTATGTTTCTGATAAAGTCATATCATTAAACACATAGTAGCAGTTTCAGTATGGAATAATTCAACTTTCATCTTTTTTTGTAATATTCTAAGGCGTAAAGTGAATGATTAGTTTGGGAAATTTTCTGGCTTGAACTAGCATGTTTACAAACAAATTCATGCTTATCTATAGTGAAGTTGTGTTTATATCCACATGTAGAAGACACTTCACTGTGTTATTCCAGAGACAGTCTCAGTGTTATCTTGGTAAGTAACACATAGATGGAGGATTTATACATACATATGTGTACATATATATATATGATCATAATTTCTGTAATTATACTGCAGCTCCATTTTAACAAGAAAAAATATGTGTATAATATTTGCCTGCATGTATTTCCCATCTTAACACAGAATGCTGTTTTTTTAGTAATGTTCAATGTATTCTTTTTAGATATCATTACTAGGATGTGGAAAGAGGCAGGCCAGGGCTACAGCTTGGAGAGAGCTCCCTGCACCCCAATGTGTTGGGTTTAAGTAAAGGACACCCTTCAAAAACTTCAAAAATTTAAAAATTTCTGCTCCGGAGGCCGGCCTGGTGGCATAGTGATTAAGTTCGCGTGTTCCACTTCAGCCACCTGGGGTTCGCAGGTTCAGAGCCTGGTGCCGACCTATGCACCACTTACCAAGCCACGCTGTGGCGGCGTCCCATATACAAAATAGAGGAAGATGGGCACAGATGTTAGCTCAGGGCCAATCTTCCTCAGCAAAAAGAGGAAGATTGGCAAAGGATGTTAGCTCATGGCCGAACTTCCCCCCAAAAGAAAACATTCCCGCTCCAAATAGTTTATAATGTGTTTGTATATATTGTTTACATATATATACATATATATATATATATATATTCTCTTTAGAGCAAGAAATTAGAATAACAAAGATCCGTAT